CAGGGGCGTGCACAGAGATTTGAAGTAGGGTAGGCAGAAGGTATCACATGATTAAAAAAAATTTGGTCTACATTAATCTCGGAAAATAAAACTCCCGAAACATCATAATTTTGAGTAGGTAATTAGGTTTAGTAAGTATTTTATTAATTTGTATAAACAAATTAGGTACATAATTATTTTCAAACTATCCGTGTATAAAGTTGATCAACATAGATACCTAGGTATCTATTTTACAAATCTATTAACTAGGTACCTACTTTGGAGCGGCGAAGTACAAATGGTTACACATCAAGCTATGCGACACCAGTATAAACTGACCGTTAAATGCATAGAAAAATCGTACAAAGCGAGATCAAGATGACTGGATTTTAAAAACATTAATGAAATTGGTACACAACCAGTGCTAACAAAACAAACTATACCTATAATCGCAAATCGTAGTTTATTAAAAGAAATAATAAAATTATTACCTTTTTTGAGTTACGCCTAGCCCGGACATACGACACACGCAAAATCGCCTTTGGAAATATTTTCGTTTCTTCTTCGAACGACAATAAGGACAACGCACTCATATTTAATTTATTGAACAACACAAATCACCAGCACAGAGCTCACAGCTATAATTTTACATAATTTTCGGTAAATTAACAGTTCATTTAAATTATAATTCATTACATTACAATTTATTCACTTGCACATAAAAACATAACCAAAACAAAATGGCCAAAAAAAACGTAAACAATAAGTTGACCAAAATTAATATATCTATTTTCAATCAACAAACGCTACGTTTTGTTGACTTCTTAAATTAGTCGGATAACGAAGAAGCAGTGCTTTTGCAGTTGTATAGAAATTACCAACCTAACAAAAAAAAAATCCAACATCAGCACGAGAAAACAAGCAAATTGTACCGGCTACGCATTAGTACATGCTTCCGCCACCATCACACAATAGCGAGGTGGCGGCGCCACTGGCGCAATGCTTCAATATATCGAAGAAAGTAGAAAGTGGTTGTAGTACTTCAATATTTTTTCGATAGATGGCGTTAGTGACCAGTTTTTCAAATTAAGTATCAATAAAATTACGAAATCTCTATATGATGTCAGTAAATATTCATGTCGTGTTTATGAGTGACACTATGTATTTGACTATGTAGGTTTACCATGATTTTGTAGGGTATGCAGTGCTTATTTGCATGTATGGTGTGCACGCCACTGTGTACAGGGTAACAGGTAGCAAATTGCCTGACTACAAAATATCTGGCTAGATTGAAACATTTTTCTTAGGCTAGGTTTACGACTGGGCCGGAATAATAAGCTCGTATCTACGTATCTATGTGTGTGTGTATATTTTTGTCTATGTTAGTGTTATATGCGTACATATTGCAGACTTTAATATAGGTTTCATTTTATGTCATACATAATCTTTCCACAGTTTCGCTCGCGTAAAAATTATCCTTCTAATTATCTAATTATCATAAATTATCAATGCTGTTACCTTAATGAATAAACTAACACACTTTCATAACTATAATATTAGTAAGGATTTTACAATACTGCGATTGTAAACAACATAGAGGTACATTAAGTAAATACTGAACAATAGGTACCAAATTGCTTAGACATATATTGCTTATTATTGCTACAAACAGATTATTCACTACTACAAAATACACTAGTCAACTGCATCAAATCACTGAGGCTCAGTTACCACATTACATAACATCACGCCTTTTATCCCCGAAAAGGTAGACAGAGGTGCACATTACGGCATCTAATCCACTCCACTGTACAATGTAACACCCACTTTTCACCATCCATGTTTTAAGTCTTATGTAATAGGGGGTGAGCCTATTGCCATATACCAGGTACATTTCCAGACTCTGTCCTACTATTGAGAATTTCTTAAAAAACCCCAGTAATGCTTTGCCCAACCCGGGAATCGAACCCGATACCCTCTGGCCTGGCAGTCGCACTTGCGCCCACTCGGCCAATGAGAATAACGGCACATGTATCATCTTATATTCAAGTGCGATATTCGCGTCTCACGATCTCTCGAGCCAAGGAGTCTCTAGTTTGATTCATTTATTTCATTTTAAATTTCAGCCATGATCATACCACTGCAGTGCAAAGGCCTCCCTATCCTCCTTCCACTCCTCTCTATATAGCTTTTGTGTGATTCATTGATAGGTGAAAGTATTATTCGGTATTTCAATCTCAAAAACGAATCGGAGTTTAATATTATGTGCATTATTTAAACAATAACATAATTAGGAATCTTCTACATAGGACTCATAATATAACGAGCGATAAAAATAGCTATAAACATGAAATATGCACACCCCTACCTATCCCTCAACAGTTAACTTAAATATTCAAAAGTCTAGACCCACGTCCGAACTATTAATTTTATCAACCATTAAAGTACAGGTAGCATAAAAAATTCATGATAAATAAAAGTTTTTCTCGAAACCGACTCCCACAAGAGTAGAATAAGTAAAAATCGAACTATACATGACAAAAAACCGCGCCATTGAACACCTGCCCTAATTACGATCCCTAACGAATAAGTATCAAAACCTGTTTATTAAAAAAAACACCACAAACATACTTTTACCGTTCTCAAAATGATTTATAACTCGTAACTTAAGTACGTAAGGTTGAAATTCGAAAGTTATTGGTTTTTCTAATGTTATGGTGTTGTTTAAGGTCCATCTTGATTCTCGGGATGGCTTGTTTTTTGGACACCGACTACTTTATAATGTCTTTTTTATTGAAACTCTGCGGTTTGTTTTAGACAGAGAAGATACAGAATTTGATTATGTTTTCTAAGATTTCTCGTTGAAATGGGTTACTTTTTTATTCTAAGATTATGAGATTTTTTATGCAAAGTGTGGATTGTGACAGCAGATATCTTTTGTATTATTTTTGGTTTCTATTTGAGATTGTATCACTAATTAGACAGTGTCGTAAGAAGTAAATAGGTGCATAGTATATTAAACACATTGACTATACATGAGGTATCATAAAATAATTATTTTTTAATTACTAAATTCTGGATTAAGTTGCCTTTACAAATTTAAATTCATTGATACATATAAGGCTTTTTAAACTCACTCGTGTAATCAAACGAATACATAATGTATATTTATTTTAATTATTCTGGGATAAGATAGACACATATATTCGATACTAATCTAAAATAATCCCTAAAATAAAAACACAAACACAACAAAAATACGGTAATCAAACGTCTTGGAAATAAATAACTTTTGAAAATAGCTTACCTTTCATTCATGAATAAATAGTCGAAACTTTTATTCACAATCCAAAACGTAAAAATAGTCACAAAGTCACACACAAGTCAAATAACAGAATCCTGTCAACAGAATCCTCGAAACACACAGAACACGGAAAACAAACGCAACAACAAAACAATCCCGAAAACAAACAAAACAAAACAAAAAAAAACCTACAATTGTTTATTTAGAAAAAAACACGAAAAGTCACGAAACACACGATTAACAATGAAATGTCAAAAAAGGTTCCAAAATTTTAATTAAAAACAATTTCACATTATCCGCAGTAGCGTTCAATATTTAATTTAAACTTTTTTTGGCACAAACAAAGTCTTTATTCGTAAAATAATTCATTGGGAGTTAAAAGGTTGGATTGGAAACGCGAAAGGCAATGGCGGGAAACGTCAAAACGTCACGCAGACGTCCGCTGTGGCGCCAAGTTGACACCATACTGGGTTCATTATAATGAATGCATCGTGCGGCTGGCTGTATCTTCCATAAAACATACACGATAAACCTTTCGGATATGTACCTCATATTGTTTGAACATTGTTTTTAAAACAATCCTTTAAGTAAATTAATAATATTACATTTGTTAGTGTGAATACAACGGTATTGTTTGACTTGTCGTTTCATTTTGTTAAACTGTTGACAACTTAAGACCTTTATTGTCATTTATGTTTAACGGAACGTGTTTTATTTAATAAACATGTACATAGTATATCTACACTCATAGCTATACATACAATGACGTTTTTTTTTTTTTTTTATGGCATAAGCCGGTAAACGAGCAGACGAATCACCTGATGGTAAGCAATCGGCGTCGCCCATGGACACCTGGAACCTGGCGTCACCGGCTTTTAGGGGATTAGGAGTTTGAGGATCGTTGGGGATTCAGGGATTGGGGAGATTGGAGAAGGGGAAGGTAATTGGGCCCCCGGTAACCTCACTCACACGACGAAACATAACGCAACCGTTGCTTCACGTCGGTTTTCTGCTCGGCCGTGGTATCACTCGGTCGAGCCGGCCCATTCGTGCCGAAGCATGACTCTCCCACACGTTTCAAAAGGGCGCTCGTAATGTGTCGCTTAGCAATGACTGAAGCACCAAAATGTCTGTGGTGTATTTATGTGTGCGTGTGCTTGCAACACTATAGAGTAATGACGGGCCATGCCACGCGACAGATGTCCTTCGTGTCAATGTATTCTGCGTGTAAGTCTATAGTAGCCAGGTCGTTGTTTCAAGATACTATGTCCACCATTTTTCAAAGTACTTGTAATATAGTATAGTTTTACTCAATTGCCAATTAAGAAGGGAAAAAACATAATAGGTAATATCTTTCTTCAATAGGTTCACCCCCTATTACATTGGACTCATAACATAAATAGTGGAAAGTGGGTGTTACATTGCACAGTGGCATTAAGTGCCGAAATGTGTACCTCTGCCTACCCCTTTGGAGATAAAAGGCGTGATGTAATGTTATGTAATATCACATATTATGTTATGTGTAAGTATTTTCAAGTGTAACTAGAAATGTACCTGATTAAAAAGAAATGCTTTAAGTTATTTTCACTTTTCAAAATGTTTTATAAGCCACCATAGACTGACCTATTTGTCGCGGAGAACCTAACGGGTTACCGGGGCTCCGGCTCGAAGCGCAGGAGAAGGAAGTGGGTGGTTTTTAGTCAGCAAGAGTCTGACACTCCCTCCCGCTTCACCCAGGCGGGAGCAGTCATTCAATGATTTCCCCCCTTAAAAAAAAGGCTGGCCTATTTAGCCTACATCGAGCACAATTTCAAGCTTAATACTTACAAAATCTTTTACAATGAGGTCACAAAATAAAACAAATCAAGAATACTTTACCCTTCCTACTTCAACCAACAGTAGATAATAAATAATTACCATAATATTTATTATAAGATGAAGAAAAACCTTTGATTGTTTAAAAGGGGTTCGCTAAAATAAATTAAGAAGATACTTATCAGCTTCGAGTTAACAAATCCGAAGGTTTATTGTCGAGCAGTTCCCAACGAGATTGCTTTCACATTTTACAGTAATGTTCTTTAATTGTTTATCTTAATTTTGATGTTTAATAATTTATATTATTTCTGGGGAAAGGTTTTCTAATTTAATTGCGTTTAAATTCTAATTTACTGCCTGTTTTGTTTCTATATATCATTATATAATACTAGCGACCCGCCCCGGCTTCGCACGGGTGCAATATGCATGTTTTATACATACAAACCTTCCTTAAGAATCACTCTATCTATTAAAAAAAACCGCATCAAAATCCGTTGCGTAGTTTTAAAGATCTAAGGATACATACGGACATACAGCGAAAGCGACTTTGTTTTATACTATGTATTGATTACATCACGCCTTTTATCCCCGGAGGTGTGGTCAGAGGCGCATATTACGATACTTAATGCCACTGTAAAATGTAACATCCATGTGACGCCTATTGCTTACCATCAGGTGATCCATCTGCTCGTTTGCCGTAATATCCCTGAAAAAAAGTAGTTGCATGAGATCATACAAGGCTTCAAAAAACGATTTTTTATCGCATAAACCGATAAACGAGCAGACGGATCACCTGATGGTAAGCAATCGGCGTCGCCCATGGCCACCTGGAACACCAGAGGCGTTACAAGTGCGTTACCGGCCTTTTGGGGATTAGGAGTTTGAGGATCGTTGGGGATTCATAGATTGGGGAGATTGGGGAAGGGGAGGGTAATTGGGCCTCCGGTAACCTCACCCACAGGACGAAACACAACGCAAGCGTTGCTTCACGTCGGTTTTCTGTGAGGCTGTGGTATCGCCCCGTTCAAGCCGGCCCATTCGTGCCGAAGCATGGCTCTCCCACACTTATAAATAATAAGTGGCGGTTTCTTTATACTCCACCTATCCCCCTTCGAGGAATGAACAACATCATATACAAATTAAGAATGAATATATAAATAGGAACCAAACTAGTGACCTGATTTGCTAAAATAATGCGCTACCTATTCCACTGGCAACCCGTTAACGCACAGTACCATGTTATCGACTTTTAACCCTCTATACGCTTGCCAAACAAGTACACTAAGTACCCATTTGATACAAATTACTCTGCTTTACATAAATTACGGATTTATGCGTGATGATATATCAATGTAGTGTTATGACAAAGGTAATGAAAAAACATTACATTAGCTGTTACCTTCAGTTCCAGCCACGACGTGGTGAGAAAGAAAAAATTTGTCTAATTACTCTTCAGTCTCTTTACTATCTCAATTTCGACAGAAAGTGCTAAGCTTCGACATAAATGGACCGTCTTAACCGGAGTCTACAGCCTCACATGGATACGGCGCGGGACGTGAAACAACGATTGTGTTAAACGCTAAAACTATGTGATCAAATAGTTGGAAATACCGAGGCGAGCGTCAACGCTAGCCAGTAGGCTACGCGACATCGCCGCGACCGCGCACGCTGCTCATGAGGAAGAACGCCTCTGTGGTTCGAAACTAGTAGAGCTTTTGTCAGTATATTCGAGTAACCCGCGATTTTTAGTTAATTTAGTATGTCTCACGATAGTTATTATAAAAACATAGCTGGAAATGCATTTGTAACACCCCTGGCGCATGCTCATTGGTGATGGTGATTGTACATCAGCCCATTTCTCGCTAGCCATTTTACGTAATCATATCATGCCATATACTGAACCTAATTTCAGGCTCCGAGCTAGAATAGACAATCCTCAAATTGCAGTCCATAAAAAGAAAACTTCATAATTTCAACTAACAACTAACAACAGAAAAATTATATACCTCTACAAAACAAAACAATAATTATTACATAACATAACATCACGCCTTTTTATCCCCTAACCGGTAGGCAGAGGTGCACACAGAAGTAACACCCACTTTCCACTATTTATGTTATGAATCCCATGTAAGGGGGGGTGAGCCTATTGCCATATACCGAGCACATATCCAGATACCGTGCTACTACTGAGATTTAAAAAAAAAACCAATAATACTTTTCCCGACCCGGGAATCGAACCCGAGACCACTCGGCCAACGAGGCAGACAATAATTATTATCAAAGTCAATACTGCAATATTTGCAGTATAGGTACCTACGTCCTTCAAACAACTGCTAGGGTTGTCCGCACACAAATCACGTAGACAAACATGCAGACAGGACAAATATCCTCTAGGCCCAATGTTTGCTTCTGTACTAAGATTTCGTGCTAGCCCTGAGCTATAGGGGTTTACGAACAACGTTTGAACAAACGGAAAAAAAATCTTTGTTTTTATGTAGCGAACAATGGTAGTTAAAGGGTGTTTTGTGTTTTTTAATTGATTAATCTAATGATAAGCGATTGATTACCAATTTATCTATCTAAGTATATATATATAAAAATGAAACCCGTTTACCGTCGTCACGCCATAACTTGAGATCGGCTTGACCGATTTTGCTGATCTTTTTTTTGTTGTATTTGTTATTGTCAGAAGAAGGTTCTTACGATAGAAATTGGAACGGGAGAAAACGGGATTGCGCGCACGAAGTCGAGGGGAGAGGCTAGTATATGAATAAAAATGAATTTCCATTCGTTAGTCTCGCTAAAACTCAAGAACGGATGAACCGATTTGACTAATTTTGGTCTTAAAATGTTTGTAGAAGTCCAGGGAAGGTTAAGGGTGAGAAAAAAATGTTTTTGGCGGTACGATGTTTGCCAATCACTTAGTAAAATAAGTATGTAGGTAGTTGGGTATTAGGAAAACTCTCTATCTTCTGTAAAAATATTTTCTGATTTATTAAAGAGATTGTTTCGTGTCTTCGGGGAGCACTGGACTTGATTGTTTCAGTGTTTTCGTGGTTGTATCTAGTACAGATCCTGGCTTGGAAGAGGTTATGGCGAGTTTGTCTACAAGGCAACAAGGCCTAGTATTTAATAATATTCTCCATTTAACGAAATATTATTAGGATTAATTTATTATGTTTTCGACTTACTCACGTAATAATTTGACGAGGAACTCGACTAGTTTCAAGCCATGCTAGAGGCTCATATTCATGAGCAGCATTTCGCAAACTGCGACGCGGCGACTGTCGCGCTGCTACTGACGACAGTCGCCGCGTCTCACGAAAGTTACAATACAAATTATTGGGATTTGTACTCAACTATAGAAGGGTATTGTTTTTTCAGTTTTCTAAATAATAATAGCACGATGTCTCAAATGAGGTCCGTTTATGACAATAAGCTCATCCCCTTTTACATGGGATATATGTAAGGCAACTGGTAAAGAGGTGATATACCTATACATATAATATTACTACATCTCCCTACTCCTTTGGGGGTTTAACGAAATAAGTTATGCATGTGCGTTACTCGATAAGCATTAATGAAATGAAAAAAAAACACACACTTTTTAGAATGTTTTTCAACCTAAAAC